GTTTCAAGTGGTAAGATTATGAGCTTTAATAAGTAAAATTATCCCAGCTACAATGACAGACAACAAATATTACATTTATAGTATTACAACTAAAAACGTTTGACGCCGCCACCGCAGTTTGTCCTTCATGAGCCTTCGTAGACAAGATGGCCGCTGCCTGTGTGGCGACCCGCGACCATGGAGATATAAACAGCTTTTTATAAGGTAAAAATAATAAAACAAGGTCTTTGTCTGCAATGATTAGACATGTTTTCTATTATTGTCATTAGTGATTATCTCAATTTCGGCTAAAAGAATTAACAAAATCCTACACACTGTGCCTTTGAGGATGAAAAAATGAACATTATATGAGGAATAAAATAAATAAAACTACAAGTGGCTCGTTACTGCCCGCGACTTGGCTCCTTTCATTCGTTAAGAGCCGCTCAAAAGATTCGAATCGTTCGTGAACGTCACATATGTTCGAGGCAGATTCATGCTTGGAGCTCAGTGCCTGACTGAGAACCAAATAGGACTGAGGCCTATTAGCTTTATAGCTGTTTTTACAACTTTGACCATCATTTCATTACTTTTGTTTAAGGTCTTGTTATCCTTCACATAGAAAAGCAGCTCTGCTTTCTAATTTAATACTTTGAAAAAGAGGAAAATAAAATATTGGTGCAAAAAGAGTTCTCTAAACATCCATTTTACTGAAATTGACATGAAAAAAGGAGGAAAAAAGACAAAAACGATGCGAGTGTGGTGAAAAACACTTTGAGTCATCTTCGAGATAAGAGCCCAGGGGATGGAAGTAGAGGAGAAAATGAAAGCTGAGAAGAAGAGGGACTTAAACAGGAACAGCACATGACAGAATCTTCACCCAGGCCCCTCCAGGGCATCTAAGAAGACAAAATTTGTGTTAAGAACCAGGCTGAGCGAGCATATGGCGCTGTGTAATATTGATGGTGCACAAGTGCTCATCCCGCGCTGTGCTGTGATAGCCCCGCAGCCATTTCTCTGGCATTTAAAACTCATCGCCCGTTTGTCTCCAGTTAATTTAGGTCGTAAAAGATTTAAAGGCAACAAGCATGTAATGCTTCAAAGAAACGTAATGAGGAAAAGCAACGGAGAGAAGAGTGTGGATGGTGGGGTGGGTGGGGGG